AGGGGTCGGGGGTCGGGGGGCGGGGGGGGTAGGAAAGGGGTCGGTGGTGCCACAGCTGATATAAGTACCCATGTTAAATGAACACATGGTAAATGAAAAGATGATGTGTAAATATACTTACAGATGTATGTTGCCTTTTTGCATTACATAAACTCCATGCAATTCTATAAACTGTATGTATTTTGAATATGTATCACATAACTCCGGATTTACTGAAGTGGGTTTTGCATAAGTCGGGAGCTGCCTGTAGTTACTCAGGTCCTCCATGTTGGTGTTGGTATCACAACACGAATCAGATATGTCCAGCTCTCCCTTCGTCTGTTATCGGACGTAACTGTTATCGCTACAAAGCCTACGTGAGGATGGATGGATCATGAAAACATGTCTTTTTGCTAGATTTATGTGATTAAGCAAAGAGAAATGTCATGAGTGGGTATAAAACCGGGGCCCGATAAGAGAGCAGCTGACATCCAATGGGACCCCGGTTGTAAAATGACATTTTGCTTGTGAAACATTTACCTTACATTTAATTAATTTATTTTTTTAGCAGACAAATTTATCTGAAGTGATGTACAGTTGAGATGGCAGAGTCTCACAGTCCCTGGGATAATTGGGGTTCAAGGCTTTCCTCAGGGGATTTGAACCAGTGACCTTCTAATGACAGGCACAGTGTCCTAACTGGCTGAGCTACACACACCCTCCCCCCCTCCCCCAAAGCATCAGCAATGCATTCAGGCAGCAGGAGAGGTTAAGGGCAGCTTTGGGCGGTGAAGCTGGAAGCACATCTCGTTGATCCTTATCTTCTGACGCATTTCATATTGTGACTTGTGTAATTGCGTTTTCATGCTAAAGATAGGCTACGGCATCATCTTGTTTGAAGACAGCGATTACGGAAGCAGAGTGCACCCCCGCTCCCCACTGTCGAAAAATGTTCGGATGCACCAGGGCCACTGTGGTTATCAAGCTATTTTTGGGTCTGGTCACAAAACATGACAGGAGTCCATGAGACCCTACTGGGTCTTTCAGAGATGGCACCTAGGCAGGGTGAGACGACACATGCTCACTGAGTCCAGGATCATCTTTAAACATCTACTTAATTCCTGCAAACCCTTCTGTCTTACCTGCTCTGAAGTTAAGGTAGGTCTCCATGTTTTTCCCCTATTGGTTTTTAACATCACTATCTGTTTTTTGGCTCAGTAAACCATTTCCTCTTGTCTCTGCCAGAATAGGAGCTAGGAAGCCCATGGTCACATGACACAAACCTGTGGTCACATGACTCACACCTATGTCAGTATGTTGGGTCTGCAGATCATTCCAGGTGAGGGGACATGTTTGGTGCTGCTGGATTACTGAAGTCAAATCTTCACATTGGGGAAAAAAAAACAAAAATTGTGCATTATCAGAAGTTAGGAGTGTTTTCAGAGTGACCTTAGCAGAATCTGCAGGGAATTCTTGTCAGATGCAGGACCAAACAGTGATGCAACAGGTATCAATATTTCAGAAGAACATGCAGCTTTTATTCATCTCTGTGATCCAGTTGGACTTTTGGAGGTGCAGTATACCTTTGGCACAAAAAAGGAACGTGGTTTTCATGGTCACGCCCAAATAAGGTCCACAGCATAGTTTCAGAATGCTATTGCTGGATTATTAATAATTACAAGATGTCATGTTGTGAGTCCACTAGCTGACATTTTTAGGTGATTCATCTCATTTTAACTTTTCAGGTTGCATTGTGGGGTGTTTCAGACAGCATAGGGAATTAATTAGTCAAGAAACCTGACCTGCAGAGCCATTTGTTTAAAAACTTTTGCCATTCAGCCCTGGCCAGGCAAAACTGCAAGCCTGACATGGCCAACCGAAGTGCCTTAGCTGTCAGTTGGAGAGTAACAACTGGCCCAGACAGCCGACAATCAAAGACACATCGAGCTGTGAAGAAGAGGCACAGACTCATGGGAAAGCATGGTATAAAGGGGTGGGCTGATGGGGAGGGAATGCAGGAGGCTTCCGAGGACAAACTAAGCATGTCTTAAAATTCACAGCCCAGTTTTGATTGGTTGCTCCTGCTGTCTCTTTCCCTCCTTCCCTCTCCTGTATTATTTGTTGTATAATCACTTATTGGCTTAAAGGAGCTAACTGTAGGTCTCCTTGGCAACAAAGTAGGACTAATTAAATTGCATTAGAAAACAAAGCATGCTTTGATGGTGATATCAACAAAACCATCCAATGCCTGAATTCATTCAGTTCCCCATTTCCTTATTCCTTTTAAAGTTTGCGCTTATTGATGATGACAATTAAGCAGGAATCACATCCTGCTTCTGTGCCTGGAAATGCAACCACAGTGAAGCAGACGGATCCTAATTACACTCTGACTGTCACTCATTCATAAATCCTGCATCATGTGCATCAACTGGTAGCCCATGCAAGTACAAACCAGCTAAGAGCATGAAGCTGCACCAGCACAGGGAAATGCAGGAGGACGGGAGCTCAAGGGGGGAATAATCCGGAATGGATAAGCTGCCATGACTGTCTGATACGTTGTCTTGGAAAGGACCTGTTCTGTCTGGCAAACACCAACCCCCTCCCCCAAACTCCGTGATGGATCGTCACGCAATTGAATGCCTCCACCCACCTATCAGTCCTCGAAATCTAATTAAAGTTGCCTGCTCTGTCCATCTGCGGTATTGAATACATCATGACTAATTAGGTGAGCCAGACAACTGCGGCCTGGGCTCCACCATGACCTGTGGAGGCAGCCGTCTGCGTACCCCGTCCCTCCTGGGTCACCGAGCCACGCGATGAGACCGTCACACGCCAGCGGTGATGCCGAGTCTTAGGAGCAGGGAAAGTCAAGGGGGAGAGGGGCTCAAATCAGCAAGGAGACCCTCGCTGCCACACGCAGAATGCCTGTGTGTGATGGGGGATCCTCTGCAGTCAGAGCAGGCACTGTGGTGCTCTGAAGAAGAAATGCGTGTCTTCAAGGGGTCATTTCCATAGGAGGTTCATGTAGTGGCGCATTCCTATATATTTATTTATTCAAAATATATTAGTCTCGGGGGGGGGGGGGGGCAAAGCATAAGTCACTGACATATTTAGCATAATTCTTCCTATTGTGATAAGGTGGTTGGGTCATTCTCCTGAATCTGAGAACTTAAAAAAATACAATATTTGACATCACCTTAACACGTGAAAAACAGCCAATCTGTATGATTGGGGGTGGGGGTCAGATATAATACGGGGGACATTCGGCCTCCACAATATGATAAAAACTTGTTATTTTGATGTTGTGGGGACCCTTTTTTTTTGGGTCCCTACAAGGGGAAACTCAATTTTATAAAAATGTGCCTGCAGTCAAAAAACTAAAAATGCCAAAAGACTTGTATGTTGTTTGGTTACTTATGGTTATGGTTAGGGCTGGGTGGGGGTTAAGGTTGTCTTTGTCGGGATTTGGGTTTTGCCCATAGAAATGAATGGAGGGTCCCCACAAAGATATGAGATCAGGTGTGTGTGTGTGTGTGTGTGTGTGTGTGTGCTAAATTTTTTGCTAATTTTGTCATCTCCATAGCTTTTGCACTCGACTTGTTGAAATACTTTTCATTACTACTGAAACAAATGGTAATATATTAAAACTGATTATACATAATTGACAGTTTAGACAATAAAGTTGTATAATTTCGGTCTGTTTTCAAATTAATTAAAAAAAATTATGTCACGGTGATGGGTTTGTAAGAATGACCCACAGTTGTTTAAAACTAATTCTGCGTTACCAGTAAAACAACACTTCTAACCAGTTTAACAATAAACACATTTTACTATGACTTGTATTTGTTTTATCATCTCTTTGTCAGACTCCTGGAATTTAATACAC